ACCTTTAACTTAAACAAAAAAGTAGTAAGACTAAATCTTACATCTTCATTATGGAGTGTGGGACAGTAGGACCAGGACGCTTGTCTGTTTTTTAATGGAAATGGGGAAATATCAGAATTTACTTGAGGTTCTAACAATGGATGCATCAAGTTAAATAGGAGTAGAAGGGAGCTTAGCACTGAAAAAGGCAGAAGGACATCAGGACATTCAGACACATCTGAGGCTTTTTAAAAGGGCTATCCAAAACATGATGGCTTTATCTGAATCAAATTGTTCTTCTACCTCTACCCTTAGTACTTTACCCCTTAATTCAGCAGTTATTCCCTTTGTATTGCTTCTATGCTGGCACACATCAGTATTTAATTTTTTACTTCAAACAATGCAGGAATTACTTTACATCCTTTCCATGTGTTCCCTATTAGTGTCTTAAAAGCAGAGAAACCGACCTCCCAGCATTTCCTGCTCGGAAAGCATTCACTTCTAAATGCCTAGAGAATATCTGAGAATATTTGTTTATAAATACATTTCTAGAACAAAACTGCATGTTCAGAGCCAGACTGGATGTGAAGGACATTTATGGTTGGCCATACAGTCAGATCTGGAATGCCATTTGTTTATTACAGGAAGAAAGGTCTTGGAGAGCCAAATAAAAAGAGAACTGCAATTTTGATAAAGTTTTGTTTAGCCGAAAACCTAAATAAATTCCTGGAGGTTTTCTCTTGCTCTCAGCTACTTGACGCCTTTTGATCATTTGCAGATGGCTCATGTGGGACTGTTACAAGATCCAAGAGCAAACCTTCTGCATCCTTCCAACACACTTTATACTCATGGCTTACTACAATCCAGTTAATCCAAACAATAAGCAATAAATCAGATACTTCAATTCCTTCCGCCACCATTTGCCCAGTGTAACTCCACCTTCCAGAACTTCAGCAGCTAAACTTAGAAATTGGCCCAATCCATCTGATGTCATTGCTCTAAAGACTAAGAACTTGAGTGTTTGCTTGATGCTTTGGCTGTATTGCAAACCACATAGTTGCTTTCCTTTAAAACTCACCATCTAGCCTGAACTGCAAATCTCTCCACTGCAAAAGTTTTCAATATAGCCAAAAAGGAAAGAAAATGCTTTTCTTTAATTTAAAAATATTTCTATTTAGACCAAAGTGATAGTTAGAAGAAAAAAAACAGTTGAAATTGTTGAAACTGGTATATGGACATCAGAGACAATTTGTCTGAATGTTAATTGTGGGATACTATATTTGGCAACTTCTACCTATCCACAGTTGGACTAAAAAAAAATTAGATAACATTCTTGAGATCTTACATCATTTCTTTGTTATTATAAATTCAAAGTCCTTTGTAGATGGGCTTGCTGGGAACCAGACTTGCTTTTTTAGAGAAGTATTTTGTTTCTCCTCATGTAAAGCAAACCAGCAGGGCTGGATTGCCAGAACTTTTCCTCCATAAGGAGTTAGAAAAGAAAAAAAAACGCAGACATTTAGTGATTCAAACCTGCATGGGTCTTAATAAAAATGCTTGTAAAAAGCTGCAAGTAAAACCCTGCTATGTTATAAAGAAAAATGTCAGCTTGTTTTTCTTTGGTATTCAAATATTAAAAGATTTTGTTTGTGTGTCTTCCCAGGGAATGACTCTTTCTTTTTCAAGTAAACTCAATCTGGCTAATGAGAATATCCATATTTTTTGTGTGGAGGTGACTGGATTTACCATTCCTGCTTTACTTATTGTTTCTAAAATGCAGCATCATTTTTTTCTTCTTCTCAGTTTTCTGCTATATTTTAGTGGTTACATCTGAAGACCTTTTTTTCCCCACATATTTCAAGAGTTGCTGGGCTTTTTTTTTGGTCAGATAAATTAAAATGCTGTGCAGTATTTAATTATTGTTATTATTTTTCTTTTAGAAATAGTGACTGCCTGGAATTTCTCCAGCTATGGCTTTTTTCCTGTTTTATGTGGACACCCTAATACTCAGCCAGACAGTTGTTATTGGGGCATCCAGCAGAAGTTATTTCAACCAGCTTGGCAAAAATGCAGTTGAATATCAAAGGGATATTAACATTTTGGCTTGCCAAGAGTGGCAGATCTGATTCAAAGCTGCCCGGGAAGACTGCAAATAATGGCCTGTTAAAGAAAGGTGACAGATTATTTCATGCTGTGTTTCATGTGCAGTCTAAAAGCATGCTGTGGGACCTGGCTAAAACTCTGAAGAGGAAAATACATCTTATGGCAATATTCAGCTAACAAAAAGAGAGAGGGATGCATTCAAATCTCAGCGCATTCCTTCAGTCCAAGTTCATAGGCAGGGATAATAATTAGCAAAGATTTTCACTGCTCTTTTGGCTCTCAAGTGGCATGCCATCACATCACAGGACTGCGCAACGTCTTCATTCACACTTGCTAGCTGAATAACTTCTGTGAATAATTTGCAGCTTCTTGTTCACAAGCATTTTAGCAGTTGCAAGTATTTGATATGCAAATTGTTTCCTTTGGAAACACAGGTCAGAGAATGTGTCTGATCCCTTGCTGGATCAGAATGAAGGTTTTGATGCAAATTTTTGTGATGAATTTAGTACTTTTTCCCCCATTTGAAGACACTTGCATTTCCCAACAGAACATAGTTCTGTCAGTGTTTTTCTGATCAGTTCTAGTGCTGAATCTCTGAAAAAATAATTAGCTAAAGGAAAATGCAAACCACATGTCTGTACCTGTTTCTATAGAATGACACTCATATACAAATATCCAGGAAGTACTGCAGATCATAGGAGCCCTATTTAGACTAAATAAAACATGTTTTAGATCTCACAGTTCTTGGAAGGCAGTGCACTGGGCTAACGCATTAGTCCAGATTATTAATGGAAAATATTTTTTTCCAGTGTGCATGCCAAAAAACACACTTAGTGGAGCTGCAGAGAGGAAACTCAAGAGTGGGTGATACGTGCTATTTCCTATCTTGAGTCTGCCTGTCTGTTCTTGCGTCTCCAATAAATCAGAGCAGCAAAACTCACTGTGCTGTAATAAACTCCTCACATCACTCTTAGAGGGGGATGGGATAACATGGTCTGCATCTTTGCAGTTCAAAAAGAAATAAATGCATCCTTCTTGGTAATGGGAATCAGATCGCTTGCTCTGAGTGGGAGGCAGTCTCTCCTTCAGTACTTCCTGTGACTGATGCAATTTCTATCCTCCTCCAGTAAGCCCAGTGCCAAATTATTATCCCATTTTATTTTGTCAGACTCAAAATGGGTGCATTCACTTGAGAAATGTGAACAGGGATGCATATCATTAGCCAGGGTTCAAGATGTCGTGGCTGACTTGGTGGTGTAACCTTCAGTGTTGTTCAGTACACACTTACTGGTGAGTGAATTCATGTAATAAATTCTAATAATTGCCTTTGATCGAACCCAACCAGCCTGTAGGAAAGGCATTGGAAGATGTGACTACAACTGATGAGGCGCAAGTGAAAACGTGCTGAGTATTTACAGCCATATGTTGAAAAGGGGTTAGTTACATTATCAATGCCTGGAAAGATTGGCAGTGAGTAAGGGTACTGCTGCACCCTTATCATGCTCCCTTCTGACTGTTGCTGCTGGTCAGTATTTTCCAGCATGTTTCTCCCAGGAGGATCCGGGCTCCTTGCAGGCTGCTTACCACAGGAGCCTCAAGCTTGTGGGACGGGAAGGCACAAACCTTCCCTCTGCAGTGCAGCTGAGTTCTCACTTGGTCACACTGTGGCTGTGTGTGACAGGCTTGCCAAAGGCACGTGTATCAGCTGAGATAACAGATATTCTGTGCCTCTCCACCTAGGAGAGTGGAAATGAAGGCTGCATGGCTCCGGGAATATAGCTGGCAGAGATATCCTGGGGTGCTGAACTGCAGCCACTAAAATATTAAAATATTATAAGTTAGATTTTCAAATGTGCTTGTATTTAGGAAGGTATGGAGGGACACATTTGTCATTTATTGAAACGTTAGTCCAGGGGCATTTTTTTTTAAAGCAAAGCGTTGTTGAAGTGGCTATTGCAATAGCTAATCCTCTCACAAACATGTTTGTGAGCATTTTTTAGGTCACAGAATAGCCAATAATGAAAACATCTGAAAGAGAAAACACTTTTCTTGCAGTGTTTTCCCATTATTGAAGCTAGATCACTCTCGGATGACTATGAACAGAACAACAAGCAGAAAAATGAAATAAATTGTACCCAATTGTTCCCCATGCTCTGCTTGGGAAGAGAATCATCTACTCACCAGGGCAAGCAAGACCCCTGGATGCAATAATTTTTCACATGCATAAAAATCGGATCTGGGAAAAACTGTTAAACTTTATCCCCATCTCTGAGAACTATTTTGATGATGTCTTTTTCAACAGCTTGTTCCGTCACTTACAATATCAGTTGAGGATTTTTACTGATGTAGAACTCTCTGTTAATGGATGAGCTAATCAATACATTCTCACATCTGCCTACGCTCACTGATGACTGTTTCTCCATGGCATAGGCAAACAACAATTTTTGCATTGCTTTTTAGCCTCTACTTTCTTGTTCTGAGCTGGCTCGGAGTTCAGACAGCTGCAGAAACATTTCCAGCTGCGAGGGAGGAAGCTGTAATTGCTAACCCTGTGATGGGCCGAGTATGCCATTACCCTTTGAGAAGCTACAATAACGTTTGTGTTATGTTGTGGTTATTGAAAGAAAACTCAGGGAAATCTTCAGTAGTGGGGATGAGAACTCAAACAGTGCACTGAGAATAAGAGCTTGTAATTCACTGCGTATAAGAAGTCCCAAGCAATGGGGCTGCAGTAAGTGGACAACTGGATACTCTTTTTCTCCTGTATGGGAACTGTTGAGTCATAGCCTTGAACACTGATTGATCACCTGAGGAAAGGACTGAGTCAGCCATGGGAGCACAGGTGAAGGCGATTTGCCTGTGTGACCTACCTAGCCCCCATTTAAGGGCTGACTGCCACTGGGGGAGGTTCTCTTTCTGGAGATCCCTCTTCTGTGGAGCCTTTTCTGCAAACCTAGCTCTTTGGATATGGGTGAGCATTCCTTCCCTGTTTGTTTCTTTTCCCATTTTTGCTACAATAATCTTTTCAGCTGTAACACCTCCTCAGAGTAGTAACAATTCTTGAGCCTATATCTCAGAGAGGTGATTATGGTTCTGCTAGGGGAACAGTCTCATCTTTCTGTGACTGGCAAATAACCTTCCTTGTTCCTCCTTGGTAAGAAAGATGATGTTCTGTCTTTTGTTGTTTTTCCTTGTTAACATAGGAGGTGCTTAGGAGAAGAGTCTTCACAAGTTCTTTTCTATGTATTTTGATGCTCTTTATGGAAAATAAATCCATGGGTTGTAGAGTTTTATCTTTGTTGATATGTGACAGCTCTTGATGCAGTGGCAAGATGCAGCAGAGGTGAATTTGGCTTTTTTGAATTTTGGCTCACAGAAACATTCAGGCATTACCAAAAGCCATCAAGAACTTGGGTTGCTACAGCTACGGTTTGGATCTGCCAGTTCAGGAAACCATCTGCTGCCTTTTAAAGAGCTACTTCATGGTCTGTTATATTGGGCCATTCTGGGGACACCATACTTTAGTGCAGGGGTTCACGTATAGTGTATATCCAAATATTTGAAGGGCACATACTGTGCTGCTATCTGTGAATGCTGCAAGACAGAGTCATAGTGATACTCTCCAGTTTCCTCTTTCAGTGCTCTTTGTGTGACTCATAAACACAGCAAGTGTGTGATATTCTTCCTTTCCTTTTATCTCCCTGCCCCTCACCCCAGGTTTGTGAAGAAGGAAATAATGTTCAGCATCAGTAAGGTCTGATGTAAGAACCACTGAATCACAAATGTGAAGCCACATAGTGTTGGTCTCAGTCTTTAACTGCACTTAAACCAGCTGATTGGTGTGTATGTCTATGAGATCTGGCCTTGTACAGTAGGCCAGGTAATGAAACAAATTTTACAGAGTAAACTGGTATGTGCTCATGAGGCAAATTAAAAGTAATTAGGATTAGATGTGTGTTTCATCAGGGAGAAAACCTCAGGTCTGGAGAGTGGTACACAGCCTGCCTGAAAAATGAATGCATTTCTGTGTAGTCTGGTAAGAGGCTGCTGGAGAGTGAGGGTTGCCATAGCAATACTGAACAATTTTAAACAGCTAATACTTCCTACACAGCTGAATGGAGTGGGCCGAGGAGCGGAATCTGAAATCATCCTCAGCATAGCTAAGTTAAATTCAAATGCATTTATTAAATGTGCTCTTATGTCACACTGGCTATTCCACAGCCCTCAAAGCACTGCACCAGAGTAACACGCTGTCTGGTACAGCAGCTCTCAGAGGCAGGCACACTGAAATGGAGTGATGACAGCTGAGCACTACAACACAAGATGATTGAAGCCTCAGTGAAGGACCGAGTATGACAGAAAGACAACCCCCGTGTGATGCTGTGTCCATTTAGAAGAGATAAGGACTGGGATTTTGACAGTCTCTTGCAGTCAGGGGTCACTGTAAACTGCACGTTCTAGATGGCTGGAAAAAAAAGCATCAGATAAACTTATAAGGAAACTGATACAGTGGGTATTTTAGAGAAAGTGATGGCACTTATGATTTATTTTTCCTGCTCCATCCTGCAGCAATCGTCTGCCATTGCAAACCATTTGGTATTGGATGCTTTTAGAAGGTATGGAGAGGGAGACAGGAGGGATGTGGTTCTGCCTTCCCTAGCACATCTGTAAGAAGCCAACTTACCATGCAAATTTTATATTTGATACATTTAATTTGAGCTCTTCTGTTCTGTTTGTAGTTGTTGTGGATTTTTTAATTGGAATGTGGATCAGGTAGAAATCTTGGGACAGGGTGAAGGGAAATTGCTTTGCTTCAGACAGCTGCTGGCAAGATTTGGAAGGTAGGATGACAAGGCAGGTAAGAGCAGAGAAACTGAGAAAATGTCAAGAGAAGTAAGGAGATCCTCTTCCCAGAGATGCAACTCATCAAAATCAAAAGTTACTAATAGTAACTTCAATAGTTTTGCCCCATGAATTTGTCTAGTTTCTTTATGCACCTCATTTTAGTTAGGCATCTGCAGCTTCTCAGGGTAGTGACTTTTATACTTAAACTGCCAGTGCGTAAGTACCCTTTCCTTCTTGAGACATAAAACCTGGTCTTTTTATGTTATACCTCTTCTTCTTGACATGTGGAAATGCTCTTCAGGTCTTTGAAGGTAAAGAGTCTGTTTAGGCTCTTGTATATAATTTGATGCGTGCATGAGAGATAATAAGTTTTTTTTCTGTGATTAAAATAGTCACAAATATCCTTTATCAAAGTCTTTCCTATGAGCATGTCCAGAATACTCCAAATATTTAAGTTCAGCTTTTTGCCACCTTATGCCTTGCTGACTTGTTCAGGTACAGAGACATTATTTCAGGCACAGAAGAGTTAGTAGGCTCAAAAGTTTTGCAACAAGCACATTCTTGTTCCAAAGTAAGTTTGTTATGAAATCACGCTGTCTCCAGTGCTGACAGAGGCTATTTCATTTTTGCTGAATACTGTGCAGAGTAATGAATCCAGCTATGGAGTGGCAAAGTTGCATTATACAGTCACCCAAGGGGGTCCTCGTCCTTGTTGTGCGTTCAGAAATGTGCAGTCTAGCAAGTAACTTGTATGTGGCTGCATATTTTATTTTTCCTCTAAACACTGTGCTGTCAAAACGTATCTGTCCTGTCACATGGAGGAACTGTGCCTCAAGTTGTAATAAAATAAGTTTTAGTAGGGGTATGCTATCTTTCAATGCATCTTTTTATTAGTATTATTTTGAGTTTTAATCCTTTTTTTTCTAATATATTCTCTGCTTTTGCTAGCATGTGATGTCTTGTGAGCTCTGCCCACCACTTTAAACACAGACATGCACATGGCTAGCTGGATGCTTTTCTAATCAGCAGCAGCTGTATTCATTTGTAAACTGACATGCCTGCATGGCTGGGCCTGACTGTTGGTGACTTTCAATAGAAATCCGGTTGTTTTTATAAACCACAGGTTTCTGCAATGTTGTCCATAAGCAGTGGTGTCTTTTTTCCATGTTCATAATCGCAATGCATCTGTACCTCATCTTTTTGCCTGTCTTCTCCATTTAATGTCATTTTCTTTAGGACATTTTTAGTATCTTAATTGTGAACTTCCTTTGAAATAGTTTCATGACTGATGTGTTACAGAAGTGGCTTTTTTTTTTTATAGTCTGAGCATCTTTGTCTTGATGATCCCCCTAATGGTGATAACAGAGATGGAGAAGGAAACAAGCTGTCAACAGGTCTGAAATCTTTGCCATCTGAGTAGATTCAGTTCCCCTGCTCTCATCCAGGAGTGAGATTATAAAATTACTACAATTAAATATATATAAATAAAAAAGATAGTTAAGGAGGAAATGTACATCTCTCCCTGTTTCTGATTTGAAGGAAAAATTCTAGAGGCAGTTAGCTCTAGCTCCTCATTTTTACCCTTCTGATACCCTAACAGCTGTATCATCTCAAACAAATGAATAGCATTTCTAGCCCTCCTAAATTTCAGAGGAATTTAGAGTAATTGGAGACATTGTTTCAGAGGATTAGGCAGCCAAACTGTTTTGATTTCCAATAAGATAAAAATCCCTAGGGATAAGTGCTCACCACAGTATTAGCAGAGCCCTCTTTTTAGTCTTGCTTCCCCCATTCCCACTGATATCTTGAGGTATATGTCAGCAACAGGTAATAATATTGTCTCACTGGCTTACCTTGGTTCTGCTCCTGTTTGTGCTTTCTTGCTCTGTAGTACTGAGGTATATTAAACCAATAAGAATTAACACTCCTCTAGTCATCTCCTTCAAATCCTCCCTTCCCTGCCATGTCCCCACAAGAACAGCCTGGGGGCTAAGCAGAGAGCAGCTGAACTTTACAACATGCAGGAGACGTCTTCAGAAATTTAGCAACACCCCCTCAGAAGCACAACACCAGAACACAGGAGCACGAAGATGGCTTTAGAAAGTGACTGTGAACATCTGCGGCTAAGCTAGCCCAGATGCCTGGGCCCCAGTGTCAATTATCCGAGTTTATGCTATAATCCAGGCATGTCACAGATCCCTTTTGAAAGTGGTTCTTCAGTTCCTAAGTAATGTCAGAGTTTTAGTAACTTTATGATCTCAGCCAACTTGCTTTTGCCCAAATCTGGAAGAATTGTGCAGGATGGGTGAATGATGTAACACTGTTTTTTTGCGGAGAAAGCTCCATGATGGCTGTCTCACTTCTGCTCTATAAGCTCTATTTTAAAGTTATTATAAATCAGGGAAGCCAAGAACACTGATTTCTTGTGTAATACCTTATGGATTTCCTGGTTCTGAAAGGCTGCAAGGAAATGACAGTCACTTGCAGACGTATCCCATTAGGAAGTTTAGCTGAAAATTACATATGGTTTTATACGTTTCTAGCTGTTGCATCCCCCAGAATGAGGGCAGGTAATAGAATCTTTGCTTCTTATTTATGAGTCCTCCTGTGAGAACTCAAATAGGAGAGATCTCTTTTAATAATGTGTCTGGCACAGTTCTGAGAAAAGCCTCACTAAAAAATTTAAATAATACTTCCTCTCCCCCGCAGCCCTACCACCATGAACAAAAACACAGAGAAAGGAGGGCAGAATGGAAAAGATGTGGAAAGTAAGGGTCCTTCACAAGGCGCATTCAAGAAATAAAATAACACATTTATATTTTATAATGCGGTCCCCAATCACCAAAGAAAAAGCATAAAATTAAGCAATTCCCTATAAGCATTCTGTATGATAGCACTGCTTTAATAATTAAAGCATAAGTCTTTTTTGAAAGAACTTGATGTGCAGCTTCTTCCTTCCTTTCAAATGCACTGCTCTAACTGATTGACTGAGCTTCATATAAAGCAGTCCCGCAATATAGTAGCAACTCTGTTTTTACTTTTTTAAAACTTCAGTTTGCTGCTTTTCTTCTTTCTTTTATCACCCTCAGTTTCACAAGATGATCTAACTGACTGCCTTTGACAGTC